AAGTTGTGTAAAAAAGCAAAATGATCACTAAATCTTAATAAATCTAGCTTACATATCGTAATTATTTTTAAAATGATTCTTTTTTTGAATGGTTGACACAGGTGTTATAAAATTTTACGTATTTTTTTTTATTATATAATTTGCTGATGCTTACTATGTAATGTTAAGTCAATGATAATAAATATGAGGAGCTCGATGGCGCAGTGGTTAGCACGCTCGGTTTGCGATGTAGAAGTTAAGCTTTCGCAAGGACAGGTCATAAGACGGTGACCAAAGATTTAATATCTCCAGCTCCTTTGTACTTCAGAAGCCCACCTACGGCTGCATATGCAGTTGTTAACAACCTCAAAACCCACTTAGTTGTAAGTGTTGAATTAACACCTCTCTAGATAGGGTTATTTATGGTCGCTTATCAATTGGGTTATTTTTTGTTAAATATAATTTAATACCTGAGAGATAATAAATAAGTTACATGAAGACGATTAAGATAAATTTAAAAATGGGCTGACATTAAGGGGCTTCAAATAGTGTTTGCATTATCGGCTAAATATTGCCCGGCCATCACAGAAATGTTTTTTTGCAACTGATAGCTGAGCTATCTATGTCTGGGCCATGTGTTTGCAGTGGTATGGTCCAGGATACAAACTCCTAAATGGGCTGTACAAACTGTCACCAATAGTTGACTTTTTATGGCTTCGTACGTCTGATGAAATCACTTATATCTACGTCTATTCAACCTTACAGATAGACCTGAAAACTTAAATAATCTCAGAAATATTTTATTTATCGAATGCCTCATGCACAAAGGCGGATTTAATGCCTTATGTATTCTCTGCCAGTCAACCTCAAGTAATTTAGTTGCCTTGATAACAAATTATTTAACAACTTTACTAGAATGTAAAAAGAAACAATCAAGCGAGAGGATAGCAATATTTAAGCATTCCAAATGCTTGTCTATGAGGAAGTATTTTAAAAATATTAGTTCCCAAATTAAACTAGATGTCGCTACGGCACTTCCTTGATTGCTCCATGGTCCTTCCGGTTTTCTTTAATGTATAAAAGTTACTATATAGTTTTCAAAACTCAATAAACATATTCTATTTGTATTGATATCAAAGTTTCGAACTTTAAGAATTTCAGTTTTTTAATATGTTAGCTAAAGGGAACGGAAATGACTATATTTGGTCCATTCGTTTCCTGCAAAAATCAAATTTATCTAGAGTCGCCATCTAGTGGAGGTGATTTTTTGGTGCTTTATTTTTTTTAATACTTCCTCATTGAAAAAATTAAAAATCATCATGTCGATTATCTAGACAACAACCACAATAGAACTACCTGAGCAATATTGCAGTAAAATTGATCGCTTAGTGATCGTTCGGCAACCTTTCTAAACAATATCACCCATAGATTGCCATACCAAAAATGTTCAACTATATGTCCGGCATATAATATTGTTCGTATCCTTAATATTACACAACCTCAGCCTTATTCATTAAAATAATAAATACGGGGGAATATAAGGGAGAAATATTATGTAATAAACAAAGAGTTATCGACTCAAGCAACATGCACATTCTTCCGCTTAATGCTACTCATCATTTCCCTAACTCTACGCCTTCTCTTCTCGATCTATCCATAGTATCCTCTCTACAGCATGTTGCAAAATATGGACAATGTTCAGCTGATGCATTCTCTTACCATGACCTTATTTATGTGTCCTATAAAATTCGTCCTCCTAAATTGAAACCTAAAGTCATTTTTCAACGCAATTTTAGTGGTATGGATCGTGACCAATTTCTAGAGGACGCGCGTAGTATTGACTGGTCTTCAGTGTGTGATGCTCAGACTGTAGATGAGCAGGTTGGGATCTTTAATTCTCTAATTAACCAGCTATACGATAGGCACGCACCTTTCCGACCGATAAAACTGAAACACTTGCCTGCACCTTGGCTTACTGATGACATAAAAAGCTTAATGCATAAAAAAGCTGTTGCTAGGAGCAGATATAAATGTCGTCCGACTGCCCATAACAGAGAGACCTACAACAAAATTCGAAATCGCTGCAATGTGGTGTGTAGGGATGCATTGCGTCGCCATATCCATAAATCTGTCCAAAATGAAGATCCAGGGAAAGTCTGGAATTTTCTCAAATCACTTGGGATTGGTAAATCAAAACAGTATTCTATTCCTATTGATTTAAATATTGACTCCCTCAATATCTTCTTCTCTTCTTCGTCTAATATTAATGACACTGAAAAAAACCATACTTTAAATCGTCTTTCCGTATTACCAATTCCTAATCATCCTCAGTTCTTTCTTGATCAATTTTCGGATTGTGATGTTGAGAAGTGTGTACTGTCAGTCACCTCCAATGCGGTTGGTAGTGATGGTATAAGCCGAAATATGTTAGTACCAATCCTTGACATTATTCTACCTGTCCTTACTTTTCTCTTCAATAGCTCTATTTCTAATTCCGTCTTTCCTTCTTCTTGGAAAGAAGCTCAAATAATTCCATTACCTAAAGTTAGCAATCCCAAAATACTTAATGAATTTCGTCCTATTTGTATTCTTCCTTTCCTATCTAAAGTCTTGGAGCGTCTAATCCATCAACAGATTAGTAAATTTATTTCTCGCCACAACCTTATGAATCCTCTCCAGTCCGGCTTCCGGCCCGGCCATAGCACGACCACAACGCTAGTAAAAATTACCGATGATATACGTCTTGCGATGGAAAATGGCCACTTGACGGTACTAACATTATTGGACTTCAGTAATGCTTTTAACACGGTTGATTTCGACGTACTTCTTGCTTTGCTGCGCTTACTTAACATATCTCCAACGTTAATTGATTGGTTTCACAGCTATCTGTATGGGCGCAAGCAGCGAGTCCGCCTTGATGAGAAGTTCTCGTCATGGTGTGACACGAAAGCTGGTGTCCCTCAAGGCGGCGTATTGTCTCCCTTTCTATTTGCAATCTTTATTAATTCTATTTCTCAAAATCTTTCGTGTTCCTACCACCTATATGCAGACGATCTTCAGATTTACTGTGATGCACCATTCTCTAAAATATCTGAAGCAGTGGTAAATATTAATCTCAACCTTCAACGTATTGAAAAATGGAGTAAAGCTTTTGGTTTGAGTATCAACCCTGTAAAAACTCAAGTGATGATAACGGGTAGCTCCAGATTACTCTCCAGGCTTGACTTCCAGGCACTTCCGAAAGTTGTTTTTGATGGTATAGATATTCCCTTTAGTCAAGTTGTCAAAAACCTGGGGGTACTTATGGACAGTTGTCTGAATTGGGGTCCACAATTGCAATTGATTAGTCGTAAGTTATACGCGTCAGCTGCTTCAATGAAGAGATTACGTAACTTTTTACCCACTGCCACTAAAGCTGCGTTAGCGCAATCTTTGCTGCTTCCTATCCTAGATTATGCCGACGCCTGTTACCTTGATCTTTCGGAGGACCAGCTTAATAAACTTGAGCGACTTCAAAACTTTTGTATCAGGTTCATCTTTGGCTTGCGCAAATATGACCATGTTTCTCAGTTTCGCACAGAGCTCAAGTGGCTTCCTATGCGTCTTCGCCGGAATTCTCATATACTATCCCTTCTTTATAATATTTTATTTAATCCCAGTTACCCAAACTATCTCAAAGATCGATTCAATTTTCTCCACTCCGCAAATTCATATGCATTGCGATCAACGGAGAACTTGACTCTTGAAATTCCTTCTCATTGCACTTCCTTTTTCGATTCCTCGTTTACCGTCAAAGCTGCTCGTCTCTGGAATTCTCTCCCAGTTTCGATCAGGAGAGCTCAATCCCTACCAACATTTAAAGTTTACGTCAAAGAATTCTACCTTTCACAATAATTACTATGATGCTGCTGCACTGTTACTTATTCCAGATTTGTTAATATGTGTATATATGTATTTATATATGTAGATCATATAGATGTATGCGATTATTATTATATAATATCATATTTATATAAATATTTATTGTAGGTATGTAATTTTTGTTTTTATATTCATTGTTGCATTTAATTGTAGATATATTGTTGTTCAAATGTACACCCCCGTCTCCGTTATAAAGACTATCTCTTTCTCCATCCAAAGGTTGCCTGGAAGAAATCGCTTTAAGCGATAAGGCCGCCAATTGTTTGCATTTTAATTAAGTTTAATTTGTTTGTTTCTGTAAATAGTGTTATGTCAACAATAAAGAGTTATCTATCTATCTATCTATCTATCTATCTATCAAAGGTATATTTTTTTTCCGAATTTGGTTTTCTCTCATCTACTTATTATTTCAATGATACTTCTTTTATTAATAGCTTTTCTGCGTGTTTTGTACAATTATGCTAATGTCAAGTGATAAAATTAGTAAAATTAAAATTAAGTAATTCCTACCTAATTCCTAATAAGCTTTAACTTTATTTCTAAATAGCACCAATTAATTTTAAGTCTGGTAGTCTTTCCCACTCCTCCCCTATATTATAAAACAACTCTTTGCCCACTCTCTACTCTGAACGTACTAGCGCAACCTAGCGGGTGCAAAATCAAACATCACTGCTTCGCATCACCAACAAAAAGACAGTTCCGCGGCAATTGCCACCAACAAAAGAACAAAAATAAATTTCATATATCTTATTGCAAAGGGATCTAGCCGACACAGCCAAGTCTTTGGTAATATTACTTCTGTTTTGGCTATTGGTTATCAACTTTCAAGGCTTCTTTAAAGTTTTGGAGTAAATAGAATAATGCACAGACTAAGAAAGAGATACTACTTATAATGCAAAAATAGAAGTCCACAAGAAAGAGGCCTACGCTTCCTGCTTAAGTACGTATTACTTACACAATTACACAATATTTTGTAAGAAATGCCTTAGAAATACCACTTGCACGAACCAAAAACCAATAAAATAATCGCCCTTAAAAAATTCGGGATAAAAATTCCATTGTAAAAAACATTCCGCAAGATACAGAAATGTCAAAGTGAAAGTATGTTACGCGCTCGTTTTACTTATTACTCTATGGTTTAGTCCACTAATGGCGTGTCTTCCGGTAACACGCGTTATAAAGTCAAAATGGCAAAGAAAAAAGCTGACGAAAAAGTGAATCAAGCACCCCAAAGTGATAATGAAGACCAAAACTTCGATGAGGAGCCAGATTTTGACGATCCGGAAGGTTTTGTCGACGACATTCCTGACGAAGGTAATTTTTTTTTGTGAGGTTGGACCGGCCATATGCGTCACCCACGCATTTTCTGTATTTCTTTTTCTTTTTATATTATTATTAATAATTTTTATGTACCAAAACTTATAGTATATTTAAACTGTGTTTCCATGGCCTTATCTTGAAACTATTTTGTCAAGTTGGGGAAATTTAACCTAACCTAACTTTGACGTTGCAGAATTGTTGGCCGACCTCTTAGAGCAGAAACCGAAAGAATCTGATGGTTACGAGAACGTAATCGTGGTAGACGGATGTCCGCAAGTCGGGCCCGAGCGGCTAGAGAAGCTGCAAAGTGTCATAAACAAGATCTTTAGCAAATTTGGGAAGATCGTCAATGAATTTTATCCCACTACCGAAACTGGAGTCACCACGGGCTACATTTTCCTGGAATACAGTAACCCCCAGAACGCAGCCGAAGCAGTGAAAGCCACAAATAATTGTAAATTAGATAAGCAACATACATTTTTAGTGAATTTATTCACAGATTTCAAGAAGTAAGTGTTATTCGTTTTTTTTTCTTATGCATATAGTTTTTTATAAAGGTCCAAATAATATTTAATATTAATGTTCTTATTCTTTATAAAAAATGCTTTAAGAAGCGAAAAGTAACAAGTACTTGAAAAATTCCTCGGTTCTGTTAGGTCCCGGTGGTTAGATCACCCTTCCAGATTGTGAAAGGTCATGGGTTTGAGTCAAAGTACCTGGTGTTGATGGATTTTTTAAGTATTTTTTTTCATTAAAAATATTTTGCAGTATAGCATTGTGAATGCAAAAGTGATCTTTTTATAATGTTGGCATAGTTAAAAAACATTCAAATAAACAAAATTGTTAATATACCATAGGTTAATTATTCAAAGTACACCTTAGTGATTGAAATGATTCCTTATTTTATCTTCTTTTGTTTATTATACTATGTTGCACATGTTATTTTAGATATCATAGATAAATATTTTTATGTTGTGTTATAGGTATATAGTAGGTTTTACTGAAACTAGATAGATATCTTAATGTCACATTGAAATATGGAGCCATAAATATGTTTTCTCAGGTATTCAGATATTCCTAAGGAATGGGAACCACCAGCACCTCAACCATTCAAGGTTCAGTCAGATTTACAATGGTATTTGATGGATCCTGATGCATACGACCAGTTCCTTGTTGGTATTGGTACTGGTACTGCTTTACAAGTATGGCAGAATGCATTGCCAGAACCTACTTTGTTGCAAGAAAGACCAGTGAGTATTATTTTCTAATCATTATAGCTTCTTGCCTTTTGTGAAAGAAGTTGTTCATTTATAAAGTTTCTTTACTTCTGCCCAATCCCTAATTAAATTTGTGGGTCATGTCACCCCAATTTTCTTCTGTACAGCATAATATTATAATAGTGGAAACTCTTCTTGTGGATTGTATTTTGCAATGTAATTAGTGAATATTCTGAAATTTTAATTTACTGACAATAAGTTTTTTATTGAAAGTCAAAGTAGGTATCTGATCTATTTTTGTGAAAGAAATTGTACTTCATAACATCAATAGACTAATTTTGAATTATAAGTTGGATATTTTTGTAGTGATTAGCTCTCATAAAGTCTCATATAAGCATATGAAATGTTATTATTTATATTTAATCATATCTTTTTACAGAATTGGACAGAAACTTATGCTGTGTGGTCACCACTAGGGACATATCTGGCCACCTTCCATTGGCGGGGTGTCGCTCTATGGGCAGGGCCAAAGTTCTCACAGTTCCAAAAGTTCTTTCATCCCGAAGCTAGGTTCATCTCCTTCTCACCATGTGAAAATTATATAGTTACGTTTTCACCCAGTGGTGACAGAGGGGATGAAAAGAAGTTAATTATTTGGGACATTAGGTATGAAGTTATACATATATGTTTCTTTATAAAGAGTTTACACTATTTACCTTTGTTTTGAATTTATTGGGTTAGGTAAGAAACTGTATATAAAAGTTCCCTTTTATAGTTCAAATATTTTTATTTATAGCAGTTTTAGTTCTTCTTTCTATGTTTCAAGAAATAGAATTATTAGAAATATAACTATGTATGTGGTAGAGTTGTATCCACCAGTCAATTAATTTTATATCACTTCCATTCACTACCTGCATTTTTTTATCAAACTAGTTAACTTGCAAACGCAAAATAAAATGATCCTTTGGTTTTATTAACATTTGTGTAGTGAATAAATAATATTGTACTATATTTTCAACACACAGAACAGGACAAGAGAAACGAAGCTTCCCACCGCCAGATGAGTATGTCACTTGGCCGATATTCCGTTGGAGTAAAGATGACAGATTCTTTGCACGTCTTGGTGCTGATGTTCTCTCCGTATATGAGACACCAGGTTTTGGTCTCTTAGACAAGAAATCCATCAAGATACCTGGAATTAGGTAAATTATAAATTTCTATTTACCAACAAACAGTAATTAATAGCATAGAAAACAGCTTTTATAAGTAACATTGTGAAATTTGCTTTCAAAAATGTATGGACTTGTTTATATACCATTTTAAATTGTAGAGAAATGTGTAAAGTTATGGAGATATTCATATTGGGGAAATGTCAACAATTTTTTTTACAGAGACTTCAGTTGGTCCCCAACAGACAACATATTAGCTTACTGGGTAGCTGAAGATAAAGATGTACCTGCACGAGTAACACTCCTCGAACTGCCAAACCGCACTGAAATCCGATCTAAAAACTTGTTCTCCGTCGCTGACTGCAAGATCCACTGGCAGAAGAGCGGCGACTATCTATGCGTTAAAGTTGACCGTTACTCAAAAGTGAAAAAAGACAAAAACGACATCAAATACTCAGGGATGTACTATAATTTTGAGATTTTCCACATGAGAGAGAAAGAAATACCTGTGGACTCTGTAGAAATTAAAGAACCAATTCAGGCATTTGCTTGGGAGCCGGTCGGTTCGAAGTTCGCAATAATTCATGGTGATCCTGCGAATATTTGTATTAGTTTCTATCAAGTGAATACGGGTCAGGCTCCGACGTTGTTGAAGAAATTTGAGAGGAAACCGTTCAACCATTTGTTCTGGTCACCTTCTGGTCAGTTCATTGTGTTGGCTCATCTTGGTCTCACTGGAGGTGCTCTGGAGTTCTTGGACACTAATGACTTTACAATAATGAATGTAGCTAATCATTATCAGGTTTGTAACATATCATTTTATAGTTTAACACTTCTATTTAAAGCCTTCCATCATTCAGGTATATTATAAATGCTTACAAATTACTTGGTTTCTTAATGTAGTACTTATATTACAGATGTCTGTCATTGATTGGGATCCAACTGGTCGCTATGTCGTAACTGGTGTGTCCTCCCTTAAATGCAAGATGGACTGTGGCTACTACATTTGGTCGTTCCAGGGCAAGATAATTAGAAGGTATTGTTTATTTAAACAAAATTTTATTTTTTTAATATCATTTTTTTGATATTAAAATGAAAGACTAACAAATTTTGTTGATTTGATGAATTTTTATGTAATTCTTTCACTGGTACATGGACTAGGGCACATGGTAATATATATCATGAAAGTTTTTGTGGGCAGAAGTGTAGAATTTGATTCTCAAGTGACTTGCAAGGGTCAGTCATATATTGGTGGGGTGACTAAAATTTGTAATCTCAAACTTCTTGGTTCTTCGATTGCTATGTTAAGCCAATGTTCTCAGCTGAATCATTTGTTAACACCCACTGCTCTGCACAAAGCCATGTGGTTGGTGATGGCCCATTATACCTATTTGATTTTTTCTATCCGAGGAAGAAAAAGTTATTGTAGGCCAATAGTGATTATTTAGTGTCTAATTTTAAGTGATTTTGTGTGTTTGTACATTCTTAATTGTTTAAAATTAAGTTAACAATTTCTCAACTACTCGCCAACATTTTTGTTTATTGTAACCAAAATTATACAAGTTTATCATTATTACATTTAAAATCACTACTCCACTAATTTATTTACAATGGCGTTAATTCCACACAAATTGACAGTATTCAAATTTACTATATATGTGTAAAAATAATAATCTTTATTATATAAAGTAGGAATATTACATTTATAGCTTATTTACAGAATAGGTAAGAACTTAAATTAGAAACAGACATCCTGTAATCGAGCGTATAGTGCCCTAATATCCTCACAGACCCAATTTACTTTACAATTTAATTTTCTAATACAATTTTTGTATGTGTATTTAAAAAAAAAGTAACCAGCATTATATTAAATTTTATGTACAGGGTGATGAAAGAAGGTTTCGCTCAGTATCACTGGCGGCCGCGTCCTCCCACGCTGCTGTCGGAGAAACAACAGAAGGAGATCAAGAAGAACCTCAAGAAGTATTACTCTCAATTCGAATCTAAGGATCGTATGCGCAGCAGCAAGGCCAGCAAGGTAAATCGGGCACTTCTTGTTCTTCTTCAATATCGAAAAAATATTATTACTATTTTATGAACTAATTTAGATGACATTCGGCTATTACCAGCAAAACTGATCTTACGACATTTTGTTGATTGATTTTTATAATATTTATAGTAATAATACAAAAATACCTATGAACAGTCTCTGTTTCTAAAGACAAACGATTGAGACTTTGTAAATTATATAATCCCATTAATCACTATTAGAATAGCTGTACCTTAGAAAGGGATTGCAATAGTATTTAAAATTAGACAATTAGTTTTTTGCCTCCAAACGATAGTTGACAGTTCTGTTGAAAGAGCATTCACCTATGACCGAGAGGTGGCGTTAGGTTCCTAAGACAGGACCTAAGACGGCAGTCCAGTTACATCAGACCGAAGACAGATTTAATTTTCAAATAGCTTTTACTCACTAAATTTAGGATCTTGACAGTGTGCTGATGTAGTAACACTAGTATTTTATAATAATATTGAATAAACAAGAATTTGAAAGAAGTAAGATCTTATATTATTATAATTAGCTATTATCAGTCCTTATTTCTTTTAGATTCCCATCTATTGGTTAAAATATCTGCTTATGATATGCCATTTTCTCAAGTATAGATAAGAGACATATGTGATGTATGGATGCAAAATTAATAATTTAAATAAATAAATAATTATATTGTTGTGATTTGTTCAGGAATTGGTTGCTAAGCGTACGGAGCAGATGAAGAAATACGTGGAGTACCGCGAGTCGAAGGTGCAAGAGTGGAACGAGCAGAAGCCGCGTCGGCTCGAACTCAGAAACTGTGAGTATACCTGTACTCATATTATGATCATGATCATGAAAATTCTTTCATCTATGGGAAGCTTCATCATACGCGGATGACAGATTATATATTTACGCAGGCGAAGTCGCTGGAAAACAGCTAACTTAAAATAAAGCATCGCATAGCAGGGTAATAAAATTTGTCAAATTTTTGCAATTGGTTTTGTAGCTAATGTTTAACATGTTGGAGTTATTGCATACTGAAATTATGTGCTGTTGACCATATACAGTGAGATAAGAAAAATATGTGAAATTTCTATTCGTAATCTCTTCCATAAAACGGGGAATAATAGATAACCCAAGAAATAAAATTAATATATTGGTTTATATAATATTCAGCAATATCACGTTGTTGATGTTCTAATCTTTGATTTTTATTAGGTCATGTGATTGATACCTATACACTCCTTTCGGGACAGACAGGATTTTCACATAAATACTTTTATTAAGACAATTTTTTATAAATTCCTACAACAATTTTATATAATAAAAGTAGTAAGACTTTAATAAATAGTCAATTATATGTGATAAAAAAATGTTTGCTTATTTTCCTATTTTATTTCACAGATGTGGATACGGACGGTCTTGATACAGACCAGGCGAATTCGGTGGAGGAAGTTGTTGAATTTTTCGTGAAAGAGGAACAGACTGTCATCGAGTAGTCGCCATTCTACCGTCACGTTATAGGTCGGGGTTAACTCCGACCTTCTTTGAACCGGTTCGAACCGGTATTGACAGATTCACATAAAACATCATTTTTTAATAAACGGACAGGAATTTAATACAGCTTTTTTTGTACCTTAATCCCATTTTAATATAAATAAAACGTTTCACAAAACGATTCCATTATGTATCGCAGTGTAAGATTCCGGTTTATATATTATACAAAAGGTAATGTTAATAGAAATCATATTAAATTGATATGTTACAAACTTATTATGACTTTCAATGCTTATTTATTTATTTTTTATTAATTTCCCATTGCTAGAATGTAATAATCCGATAGCAAATAAACTTCTAGAAATTATTAACAGAGGATTTGAATATATATTCCTATTTAACAATTATTTGGAGCAGTTTGGAATCAATATTTACAAGGCGTAAGGCGTATCATAAGTCTGCCAGCGCCACTCTCTTGGATTTTCAAATTAATTCTTGACCACCAAAGCATTCACAAAAAGTAGCTGAAGAGCTATTGAAGCTAAACAGTAAATATAAGTACAATTGTACAAACCTTATCTGGACACTGCAAATTACACAGACGCCTATTTAACATGAAATTAAGCGACACCATTTGCAGATATTGCATAAGGAACGTGAAACACCAAAACATCTGTGTGAATGTGGACCAGTGATCCACAAACGAAGCATACATCTGGGACGACATATAATCAGCCCAGAAGAGATAAAATCTCTAAAAGCTAGGAATGTTATAGACTTTTTGAAGTCTACCTGGCTAAAGGAGTTACTATAGCTCTGGCGGCGAGTCACAATAGATCTTCAAGGTCGCAGTGACTACAGTTCCTTAGGGAACTGCATAGACCCTTACAGCAATAATAACCACCGAATCCCTTATCTATCAGTATCCATCAAGCTGGCAGCGTCACACTTCGATTTTGAAATTAATTCATGGTGTGTAGTGTATCATGAAGAGGAATGAATTATGCAAATGATCTCAAACCACAACCTTACTGCTCTGTAGATATGCGCTTATCGTGTCCTGGAATGGATGCATAGTACATTTATTTCCTGGATAATGTAATAATGTTCATATGTATTATGTTCTGCCCTACTTCAAATAATATGTAATTCAAATAACATTGAGTGTGATATTACATCTTTCATTTTGAGATGTTAGTAAATTTAACAGTTTTTGTTGCCATACATACTCCTCCGAAACAGCTTCACCGATTTTTAAGAATTTTCATATATATTTTATTTATTAATTTAAGGAACATACAGTAATACAAATGGTACATGATCACAAGATATTAACCGATTCGTTGCGGCGCCCATTTTCTAAAACTTCGCCACGCTATGTGAACAAATTTTCTATGACACGACTAGCGTGTCAAGCGCCATAGAAGTTGATGGCACGCCTATTTTGCTATCAGCCATGTATTTAGACCACATGCTTTTTCACGGGTTTGAACTTGATTCAAGTTTAGTTGACATAAAACTACGGGAGTGTACGGCACGATATACTAATAAAATTGATTTTGAAGTCGTAAACTACGTGTTTTTTCTAAAATGGAAGGTAAGTGACTTTAATTTATCAGATATTACAAACCTTTTGTGTTGTTTTAATTTATGAAATTAATCTACAAATATCGTGTTCGACTTGGGGGTTATTTATTTATTACCAAAAACAATGTGTGGTGTAGGAAATCACATATGACGTATCTTGCTTATAACTTAAATAATCACAATTAATGGACAATAGATTTTTTGCAAGAACTCGTCATAGCTGCCGGAAAATGTATCTGGGTGTTAATATTTATATAAGCATGTATTTTAAAAATAAATAGTATGTACGTATAGATCAGGTTCTGATGACCCATTAACTAAATGCCAATGGGCTATCTATTTTGGCATCAGAGAGCTTTTTTTAAAAAATATATATTTCATTTTGCTAGAAGTGTGCTGCGCGATAAATTTATAATTAAAATATAAATGTTTTGAGATAGATTTACGTTTCTTTTATGTACAGTAAGCCACACATCAAGTTATACAAATCTGTCAAATTTTTGCTCTTTTTTAATGTAACATTTATCTCTGTTGGTGCTTGACTAAGTTTATTTGAAATCTTGGCTTGGTCCTTTGTGTATACATATTTTAACACGATAACACGAGATACATATTTTTCCATAACTAAGTAAAAAAATCAATATAGTACATATATTACGGTAAGAATAAACGTTAAATGCACATCAAAATCAGCGATGAAAAAAAGCACTCTCACTTCTATGGTAACTAACAATTTGTCGTTCACACGTATTTATTTAATTTAGAAATATTGATTTCTAAATTATTAGTATTGACTAATTCCAAAATGTTAAATGTTTTGTTTTAAGCATTTAATTGTGTTACAATCAATTAAAAAAGACACGCCTATATAGCATGCGCCACATTTATTTATTAGAAACTCAACAGCTTGTTCGACATATTCGAAAATATTTAATTTAAAGCAACTTAAAAAGGTTGTTTACCCCTGCAACTTTTGAATTCACACAATATCCAAAAGTTAATACAATAGGCTAGATCTACGTTCAAAATTATGATGGTTTTGTTCTAGGTAGACCCTTCTAAAACTTAATTTGAGGAAGTTACAATCGATTCACAAATGACACGCCTGTCATGTCATAAGCCACAAGTAAAAGAAAATGAGCCTGTCGTGCCATCAGCAACGAATCGGTTAACAAAAAAAAAAAAAAAAAATTACAGTTCCCTACATTAAATATAAATACACTCAGGCTTAAAGTTTATGAGAAATTGAAAATCAATCATCAGAAAACAAATATAATCAGTACATCTGAGAATAGGTTGTTATCTACTTTTTATAGCTCTAATTGGTAAGGGTAGTCCATCCCAAAATATGTCAAAATGACGTTTGCCGGGTCAGCTAAGCATATAAATTGAAAAATATGCTATGTGTATAAATTTTGGCAAAATTATGATTGATGAACTTATTAAAGCATAAAAAAATTACATTATTTAATAAAATATTTTAATAGGTACGAAACAGATGGATAGTTTTACAGAGAAAAATGTAAAATTGGACGAAGGCACCGGATGATCCAAATAACGTTTATATTAATAAAAGTTATTTGATTATCTCTAAACACTAATGGACTATCGACTTTAATTTAGCATTAATCTGAAATCACACCCGTAAAAAAAGCACATTCGTGTTTATTGTTCACTGTCTCATACTCCTACGACAGTGTTACCAACTCCCAACAAAATTAAACCCTTAAACCAAACTCAAATAACCCTAAATGGTGTAACTAAGCGCCCCAAAAAAGCCCTGTCCTGCTCTTATAATTAACCACAGATTTAATGATGTAGTTTAAAAAAGTTTTCTGTTCTATTAAGGTGATTAAAATAGACCTCAGTTTTATTTTTTATTAACTTTATTGGTTTTAATTACTTGAATCGCATTCAATTAATTTTGTTAATCTAACAAAAATGTGAGTATTAGCCTTTTTTTAGATAAATAAAAACGTACCCTAATACATTAAACCGTTTATGTAAAAAGATCTGTGATTTTGTATACTTTAATCGAATAAGGACACTCTCCTGTCTTTTCTACTAGTTCACTAAGAAGAGAAGGCCCAAGCACATTTTGTATAATCATGGAACATTTTGTGCGTTGTAGTCTTAAATTCTTTAAAGCATCCGATGACGAATCTATTTGATGATCGAAGCCAGAAAACATACTATGTTTTATGACTAAAATCAACTCAAAAAATTAGAAATAAACCATGACACGAAAATAAAATACTGAAATCATATTGAAGCCAAATCAATATGCATAGATAGCCTACAGACATACACGCAAGTCCAGCTAAACATTTGCTTCTATATAATGCACAATTGGTATTTGTTTTGTCAAATAATTTAACGTTTTGTCAATTGTCGAATTCGAAGAGAAAACAAAGTTCTTTTATATATTCCAAACAATGGTGATTAATCTATTTTAAACCAAATAAAAAGATTTAATGGGTAATTTAGACATTACTTGATGTTTTTTTATTACTAATTTATTAAAATTTTTTGACACTAAAATTAGCCCTAAATTTTCTTGAGCCCCAAAAAATTAGTTTATTTTCGCCCTAAATTTGGGGCTAAAAGCCTTAAGTTGGTAAGCATGTCCTTCGAACATGTCCCATCGCTTTCGGAGCCGACGCGCTCCGCGGAACTGTGAACATGTTTAATAGACATTGTTGATTGGACCAATATCGTTCCATGTCCGGATATGGTTCCTGGAACTATTACGGTCCGGAACTACTCATGTCTACTGCTCTGACTATTCCAATCGAATGTTGGATAACATGACAACACCTAGAATCTGAATAATTATGGATAAACTCAAATGCGTCACAATCGCAGAATTCCAAAAGTTTCAATGTTTTATGAATTATGCTAAAATGACTTAGCATTATTATATTTGATAAATTTTACATTCACAATGCTATACCGAAAAATATTCTTAATGAAAAACGCTAAAAAATGGTTCGAGTCCAAACTCAGACAGTGGCGTAACTACAGGGTGGCAAGTCGGCAAAATGCCACGGGCCCCCAGCTGGAAGGGGCCCCCGGTCAGAGGAGACACCTTACTCCTGACATTTATTATTAAGCAATTAGTAAAAAAATTGAATATCCGATGAATTTGCCACGGGCCTCAAACGGTATAGTTACGTCACTGATCTCAGAGTGCCAGGGACAAGGTGGTTTTTTTAACCTTTTTTCATTTAGAACATAAACTAGACATTTTTTAATAATGATTTCCATAGCAATATAAGTTAAAACGATATAACGCGGCGCTGTCATAACGTTAGCCCCGCAGCGCCAAATTATTTTTCAATAATCTCTAAACTATTTATTTTTTGTATTTAGCTTAAGTACTAAGAATTCATTTCAAAATCGAAGAGGGTGGCGCTGCCAGCCTGACACACGGGTTAAATTATAATGTTCCTAGCAACAAAAACTTGCAGAGACTACTATTGAAGCGCCACTGATACCCTAAATTTATAAAAATATGGATGATGACTGAGTTTTGTTTCTTTGTCCGTTAGATAGATTATTGAAAAGTATTAAATACGTATTAAGTATTACTTGTCAAATTTAATAATGTTATTCCAATTTTAATTAGACTATCATATCAAAGTGACGCTATTATTTAAGACCGTGCTAGTACTATAGGTAAAGGATGA